GCCCTTCCCATTTCGCCCCTTTCCCATTCTGCCCCTTCCCATTTCACCCCTTTCCCATTTCGCCCCTTTCCCATTTCGCCCCTTTCCCATTTCACCCCTTTCCCATTTCACCCCTTTCCCATTTCGCCCCTTTCCCATTTCGCCCCTTCCCATTTCACCCCTTNAATCCAATATCACGGATGCTGATGACGATGACCTCATCTTTTATTTTTAAGAAAAATTCACGCTAGAGGGGGTAGGACCGGTTTATTCCCATTTCCCCCCTTTCCCATTTCGCCCCTTCCCATTTCACCCCTTTCCCATTTCGCCCCTTTCCCATTTCGCCCCTTCCCATTTCGCCCCTTTCCCATTTCGCCCCTTTCCCATTTCTCCCCTTTCCCATTTCGCCCCTTCCCATTCTGCCCCTTCCCATTCTGCATTCTGCCCCTTCCCATTCCGCCTCTTCCCATTTCGCCCCCTGTCCCATGAAGCCCCAACAGCAGCCTCTGATTCGTCAACAGACTTCATGGAAGCTTCATGGGATGCATTATTAGATCTATAAACTCCCTAACCATAACCCTAACCCTAAGACCCACGACCAAGCAAAACAAGTATAATTTCTTATGTTGCCTAATGTAAAAAAGGGGTGAAATGGGAAAGGGGCGAAGTGGCAAGGGGGCGAATTGGGAAGGGGCGAGATGGGAATAATTTATGGGCGAATTGGGAAGGGGCGAGATGGGAATAATTTATGGGCGAATTGGGAAGGGGCGAAATGGGAAGACAGACGCCGGTAGGACCAGAAACGTTGTTAAGCTTCTTCTTGCCCCTTTTGAACATGACAGAAACTATCTGAGCATTTCCTTCTTTTTTATACCTTGAACGTTTTTTATATTTTATTTTGCTTCTCTTTGTTATAGTTATTTGTTCTAACATCTTCAATAAATACGAATAATTACAATATGCACCTCAAGAATTGCATTGTGGAACATGGAAGGAACCTGATTACTTCCATGAGGAATAACATGTATCCCTGCGCTGACATGGGAAAGATAGAGGCCGAAATGAAAATCTGTGTGAATCCAATTTAACATGATAATCCTCACCAAGAGAAAAATTAGGGATTGTGTCAAAGATGATGTACTGGCTACACTCACAACCATGGGGGCCAGTACATTCACAGCAAGGCAGAAAACACTCTTTGTTCACTCTTTAACAATGTCCGTATGAGTAGGAATATTATTATGACAAAGTATACTGGTTGACTTTATCCTAGCACCAACTATTTTCTAACAACAGGTGTTCTTAAGGTGTCTTCATTTGATAAGAAACTATTAGATGAAACATCTGTTATCAGTTTTATAACAATGGTTATTCAATCAAAAAAGGCTTTGATTGGTTTCTGTCCCCTTTTGTGGGTTGGTATGGTTTCTCTAACATTTAACCCCTGTTGTTGAGACTTTCTAGCTATAGTGACATATCCTTGAACATGTATCTGGATAAGGATAAAACATTTACATAAACACAAAGGCCTTGTCATCGTGGATATCATTTCAGCTCACTGAATACTGAAAAAACTGAGCGTCAGAAAAGAAATACTGGAATTCAAGTAGATTGGAAATTACTTAAACACAGATACGTGTGCAGTATCAATAATACACGTCAGAAGTGAGCTGACACGTCTCTATTTCAGTATATTACATTTGACCCTAGCACTTATTCTACAACACTCAAAGAACACATGCTTTGGTTTCTCCTTTCGTATAGTATTTGAAATCCAAAAACCAGCATTAACAGGATTTGTGAATTAATGGTTTTGCTCTGGACCGGCCAGCTTTCTAGAAATCTGTCTGGGTACCAAAGAAAGAAAGAAAAGTTTAGACCAGTGTGACTTTGTTTGGCTCCACTGTGATTTGCCACAAATCCTGTAAGAGTTCATCTGAGGTCTGGGGCTGGGGTAATATCAATAAAACTATTGTAGTTATCGGAAATATAAAGCGCATCACTTCCTGTGTGGCAGAGAATTTCCCAGCAAAACCCATCAGTCAACGGTGGTTTAAACAGAAAATATATATATTTTTACGTACGTTTTGGCATCTTTTACAAACATTTTCATTTTGCCTACTGTGTTTCCATTTTTACTACAACTGTATCAACACAGTTTATACTTAGAAAAAAGAAGAAAACTACAATTAAGATACAAGAAAATGCAAAAAATCAACAACAAAAACTAAGAAATATTGATAAAAAAAAAATATATAAAAAAAAATACAAATAAAATAATAATATTTTTTTTTTTTAAAGGGGGGGGGGATGGGGGAGAGTTGTGATACTGGGATGATTCAGAAGGTGTGGGGACATTTGGATCACTTCCTTTTATATAATACACAGTAATAGCAGAGCCTGAACGTTTAATAATAGAAAAATTAATTAAAATCAGTTTAAAGTCTTAATATATATGTTAGTTGTTCCATCTGATAGATTTCCCACACCTTCTCAGCCCATTCATTAAAAACATATCTCTTCACACAGGCTTTATTAAATAACTGTTTTGCTGAAACCTGGTTTTTGTGGACATGTGACTTGTGACGTCTTTAAAGTAATTATCTTTAATGTCTCTGTCGTCCCTCCTTAAGACTCAACAACAAAAACTCCAATCACGGTGCTCAACAGTTTGCACGGCAGCCGCTTGGGACACAATATCCTCTTGTTTGTCGAGCGTCTCTCTAGTTGCGTCACTCAGTGCTAAAAATACTCCACTACCAACCCCCTCCCTCCCTCCCTCCTTTCCTCCCTCCTCCCTCTCTGCCAAGCGCACATTGTGTTTCGCCCGTCTGATCCACGTAGGGGAGGGGGGGGAGGAACTCTAATCCTGAGTGTTGTACTGACTTCAGCAGGCAGCGATGATGTCATCGTGATGTCAATGCCTGTAATTGTAATCGCGCAAAGTTGACGAGCGACCACGGTGGTGCAGGCAGAGCTGAGAGGGGAAAGGCAGGAGAGGAGACCAAGAGGTTGTTGTTAAAGGTAGAATAAAATAGTTTCTGTGCTGAGGTGTTCTGCTGCCGCTGTGCTGGATTATTGGAAACAAGAGATGGCTGTCACTGGGGATGAGACTGAGTCAGGTAGAGTTACTCTCATTCAGGTTTCTTGAAGTCACTTTTCTTGTAGATTGTTATGCCGGTTTCACAGCTATGTTTTTCTAGGGTTACAACCAACCTGCAAACAAGTGTTGAAAAGAACATGTTGTTTTGGTATTTTGATTGTTTTTCTCAGTGTAAGAGCACAACCTTTCCACAACATTTGAAATGATTATCAAACTTTTACTTAGTGCATTGTGAAAGGTTGCACACCACAGGATTCTGTCCTTCCTATTTCACCACAGGACAAACACTAGGACAGTTTAGGGTTCTGTTTTCCTTGAAATGAAACTAAAACCAGGTCAAAAGAAAAAGCGTTTGGTGAGTTTGCTCAACTATGTTCCTGTCAGTGTTTTTCCCGCTGTCACACACACACACACACACACACACACACACACACACACACACACACACACACACACACACACACACACACACACACACACACACACACACACACACACAACACACACACACACACAC